GGGCGGGCGGCTGTCCGGGCTGCGCGGGTCTTGGCACGGGGGAGTTAACACTTCATGCTGCTCGCCTCCTCTTCTGCCTGGCTCTTTTTATTTATTTTTCTTTCCTCTCTCGCTCTCTCTCCTTCTCCCTCCGTGCAAAGTGCAAGACAGAGGTGCAGCCGGGCTGGAGAAGAGGGAGGGGGGAGTTTAGTTCTTTTTTTTTTTTTCCTTTTTTTAAAGCAAAATAGTGAAGTCCTGGAGAAAGGCGAAGCAGAGAGCAAAGTGGGGGTGGGGGGGGGTGACAGGCCGAGCCGACGAGCAGCCCGAGCTACATCTCGAAGATGAAAAAAGATTTTAAAGCCTCTGATCCAGCAAGAAGAGTTTAAAGCAATTGCGGAGTTTTATAGCAGTTATGACGTCAGGCCCAAATGGGAAATTGACTGGCACTCCAGGCCAATGGGAGGCGGCGAGAGCGCCGCGATTAGCATAATAGTATAGAAACAAGGAAACTTTTCGGAGCTGTCAATCAGGGCCCAATCAGCTGACTGTCAGCTGGGACGGGCTCGCTTAACCCTTCCCGCGCCGCAGCCTCTGCCGGCGCCGCGAAGGAGAGTGGCCCGGCGCAAAGTTTGTTGCAGGAAGGGAATGAGTTTGCCAAAGGAGCTGCGGGGACCCGGGCGGACATGGTGTTTTTCTTCGGAGCGCGAGAGAGGCCTGCTTTCCGTAGCCCCCGCTCGCTCGCCACTCACTCTCCCGGGATTGGCCCGACTTTCCTCCCCGGCCTCAACCCCCCACCTCACCCTTGGGCACCCAGGTGTCTGCGCGGGGGATCTTCCTTCCCCAAGCCCGGCTGTGCCCGGAGCTCAAACTTGCGCCCCAACTTTTTGTCCCTCTGCCGGCTGCCCGCGCGCGAGAGAACGCGCAGGGGTGCGGGGGTTCGGGACTGCGCGCGGGACTCGCCCCGCCGCGCGCCTCCCGGGGTTGTATGAGGTCCGCGGAGGGAGCCAGCTCAGTTGAGCACTCTTTTTCAAAGGCGGTAAAATAACTTGTTCTGGGGACATGGCGCGCGGGACCTGCTGCCGGTTGGAGTCGCCTGCCCTTGGGGGGAGCAAGCTCCTCTGCGAGTTAACTCCGGGAGAGCTCAGAGCCAGGTCAGTCCGGCTCAGCCCTCTGGCTCGACTCTGGCCCCAGTTTGGCCTTTTGAGATTCATGTTCTCTCTCTCTCTCTCACATACACACGCGCACACGCACACGCACACACACATTCATCGACTCCCACCCCCTTACGAACCTGACCCCTGTTTATCAGGGTCCCGCGCGCCCTTTGCACTTTTGCGTTTCACTTAATTATTTCGAGCTTGATCGTGCGGGGAACACGGAGAAAAACAACACTCCAGCCCTCACCGGCTCCCCTCGAAGGGTTAAATTTTAAACCGCTGTTTCTCCCACAACGCCGAAACCCAGAGTGGGGGTGGGGTGGGGGGCTGCCTCCCTCTCCCCCTTGCAGATGCTAATAACTAATTGAATTTTCTAGATCGATTTTTTAAAGCTTATGCAAAGAGGCAAAAAAGAAAAAAGAAACCAACAACTCTTGTTTCTAAGATTTTAAAGCGATAGGCAAATCGGAAAAGCTGAGATTTATTTGGGGAAAGCAAGAGTGCGCGAAGCCAGCTCAACGTTTGGAGGAATAGCTCTCCTGCTTGGAAGTTGGGACTGTTGATTTCTCCAATTAATTAAATGCATTTGGTGTTAATCATATTTATTTTACTTTATGGGAGGGGGAGACGCTAGAAGGGTGCATAAAAAAATATTCTGAAAAGCCTGCAAAAGGATGGAAGAGTGAAAACTGTTGGACGGAGTTCGTTTTTACCTCGACAGCGCCACCTTTCGGCAAAGGTCAGTTGAAATTGGTCCTAGTCCAGTTACGTTGATGAAGTGAAAAGAAGCTGGTTTCCCAATGCGGGAGGAGGAAAGGGGCACAGAAAGTTAGTCTGCAGCGCGAGAAGCTGACCTTGTAGCAAATGGGGCTGAAGAAAGGGCTGGCAGATGCGGGAAGCATTTTTTCTCATTGTCCCCCTTGACAAACAGGCGAGGGGCACGGAAGCTCTTGGTCTATTTTGGGCAGGGGACTTTTGCAAGGCAATGGCATGTTATAGGACCCCAAACACTTTAAAATGCCAGGTTGGATTTTCAACGGACTTTATAGCAATATCAATAGAATTAAAGTTACTTGTAATTCAGTGATAAATGAGATGTCCCTAGTAAATAAGATTAAGTGCAGCGCTATAAAGTTGTTTATCTGGAAAGTAATTCTCAGAAAACCTGACTTCTGACACTCAGTCATATATTAAACCAGCTTCTTGAACATTGCGCTTCAGAATGCTTGCACCCAGAGTACAGCATGCTTTACTATTTATAATGAAACCTTAGGTATCTAAAAACCCTCTGCTGTGGAGTAGATTTAGACTCTTAGTGACCCCGTAGGGCAGAGTAGAACTGTCCCATAGGCTTTCCAAGGCTGTAAATCTTTACAGAAGCGGACCACTGAGTGTGGGTTTGAACCCTGGAGTGCTTAACCAGTGTGCCACCAGGGCGCCTATATGGAGTGCTAGGACTGAGTGAATTTCTCTGAGAGTGGCAGTCTTCCCTTTTGGGAATCCCAGAAAGGTTTGTAGGCACATCATAAGCCTAAAAGGCCAGCACTCTTGTAACAATTGTAACAATTGAGCACTCTAATTGTAATTTCCAGACAAACACGTTTTCTTTTCATCATTACTGCAGAGAAGTGGTTTATAAGGGTAGTTTTGGTTTTATAGGAATACTTTGTTGAAGTAGAATGAACTATTACCAGTTTGGGGAAGAAAGAGTGAAGACTATGTCAATATTTATGCAACCTTACAAAATCCCCTTGCTTTCCTCCTCTTTAACAGTATTTTACCTAGTAATGAAGTTAAGGGATTACAGCTCATGTATTCAGAGGAGATCTACTGCTTAAACTGTATAAACATTATGTCATTTAGCATTGTCCCTAGCAATAATTTTTTAGACCTTTTTTATCATTAGTCACAAATGTCTGTTGCTTATATCTTTTATGTAAAATATAAATTTAAGTATATTCAGGAAGAATTCATTCTTTTTGTTTCTGATAACTAGTTTCTTTTTTCCCCCTTTCTGCATCACATTTTTGTTAAAATCTGAGTGATAAGATCCCTGCTCCTCATAAAAGTATTTTTGGCCGGGAACACTTAAACTGCTACATTTATAAATAAACAACATTCATAAACAAAGTTTGCCAATGACAAAGACCATGCTATATAGATTCATAGCTGAGTACCTAATTGTTGCAATTATATATCATTTCTGTAAATTAAATGTCCATGTTTGGGCAGCTAAATGTATTATTATCTGCACATTCTTATGGTTTATTTTTGTACACTGCTGTCAAGCTATGGTATTTTTTCTTTCCCTTATTGCAGAGTCTCTTATAACCTCCCATTTTCTTTTGAAAAGAGAGAGAATCAGAAGTATTTTTTAGATGTGTAGTGGTACTGCTGTCAGGCTTACAACTTAATTCTCATTTTTGTCCTTTTTACTTTATTATTTAGTGATTCACAAGGCTGTCTAAACATTGACAGTTCTCTGTTAGCGGTGTTTCTTTTGTAACAATTGAGCACTCTAATTTTAATTAGTACTATTCAGGTTTCTGATTCTCTACAATTACAGCAGGCCACATTTCTTTAGACTTCTTTGCTAACATTGTTTATTTCACTTCTATCGGAGCCAGCCTAATCCAAATACAATATGAACTGTGTTTTCTTACTGCTTAATATCCCCTTGCTATATATACTCTAGCAATCTCTGTAGGACAATATATAGTAATTTAGAAACCATGTGTTTGTCATTATTGACCAATTCAAACCAGTAGCATTAAAGTTTCGGAAAGCAATGGATATTTATAGA